TGATGTGCATGGAGTAAAGCTTTCAGAACCTTCATGTGCTCAGGGGGCATTATTCTAATGAGAAGAAACAGCTGCAAACATTAGTAATTGGATTGTGGAAATGCATGAATTATGAATCTAGGAAAATTGGAAGCTGTCAAAAATAAAATGGAATGCATAAACATCTCTATTATGGGCATTAGCGAACTGAAAATATGGATTCCATCTCAATATAACAAAATTCCTCACAACTGGACAAATAAGTAGCATCATGATAAATGGAGAAAAGATCAAAGTTGTCAAATATTTCATACTGTTTGGATCCACAATCAACACCAGTAGAAGCAGCAGCCAAGAAACAGATGACATATTGCACTGGGCTAATCTGCTGCAAAAGACCTCTTGAAAGTGTTGAAGAGCAAAGATGTCTCTTTGAAGACTAAGGTGCGCCTAATCCAAGCCATGGTGTTTTCAATCACCTCATATGCATGTGAAAGCTGGACCATGAATAAGGAAGACCAAAGAAGAGTTGATGCCTTTGAGTTGTGGTGTTGGGAAGAATACCAAAGGTACCATGGACTGCCAGGAGAACTAACAAATCTGTCCCGGGGAAAGTGCAACCAGAATGCTCCCTGGAAGCAAGAGTGGTCAGACTTTGTCTGACTTACTTTGGTCATGTTGTCAGAAGGGACCATTCCTGGAGAAGGATATCATGCTTGGCGAAGTGGAGGGTCAGCAAAAAGGGGGAAAGCCCTCAACAAGATGGACTGACACAGTGGCTGCAACAATGGCCACAGGTATAGCAAGGATCATGAGGCTGGCACAGGACTGGGCAGTGTTTCTGTTATATATGGGGTCACTATGAGTCAGAGCCAACTCAACGGCACCTAACAACAACAACAGTAAGCTGAAAAAGATTAGTATTGGCCATTTTGAATCTGACAATCAAATGGTATACAATGCCCAGAATGATAAATTGAAGAGGAATAGTGTCACATTCATCATTAAACAGAGCATTTCAAGATCTCTCCTGAAGTACAATGCTATCGGTGATAGGATAATATCCATACACACAAGGAAGACCAGTTAATACTACTGTTATTCGAATTTACTCACCAACCATGAAAGCCAAAGATGAAGAAATATGAAGATTTTTACCAACTTCTGCAGTCTGAAATTGGCCAAACGTGTAATCAGGATATATTGATAATTACTGGTAATTGGAATGTGAAAGTTGGAAACAAAGAAGAATCACCGGTAGCTGGAAAATATAGCCTTGGTGATCGAAATGACACTGGAGATTGCATGATAGAATTTTGCAAGACCAATTATTTGTTCATTGCAAATACCTTTTTTCAACAAACAGCAACTATACACGTGGACCTTGCCAAATAGAATACATAGGAATCAGATCAACTACATCTGTGGAAAGAGATGATGAAAAAGCTCAATACCATCAGTCAGAACAAGGCTAGGGGCCAATTGTGGAACAGAGCATCAATTATCATATGCAAGTTTAAGCTGAAGCTGAAGAAAATTAAACAAGTCCATGAGAGCCAAAATATGATGTTGAGCATATCCCACCTGAATTTAGAGACCAACTGAAGAACAGATTTGATGCACTGAATACCAATGACAGAAGACCAGATGAGTTATGGGATGACATCAAGAACATCATCCATGAAGAAAGCAAAAGTCCATTAAAAAGACAGGAAAGAAGAAAAGACCAAAATGGATGTCAGAAGAAACTCTGAAACTTGCTCTTTAATGGAGAGTTGTTATTGTTGTTAAGTGCCATCATGGAGAGTAGCTAAAGTGAATGGAAGAAATGATGGAATAAAAGAGCTGAGCAGAAGATTTCAAGGGCAGTTCAAGAAGATGAAGTCAAGTATTATAATGAAATGTGCAAAGACCTGGAGTTAGAAAACCAAAAGGGAAGCACATTCTCAGCATTTCTCAAACTTAAAGAACTGAGGAAAAAATTCAAGCCTCAAGTTGCAATACTGAAGGATTCTATGGGCGAAATATTGAATGATGCAGGAAGCATCAAAAGAAAATAGAAGGAATATAGAGTCACTGTACCAAAAAGGAGGAGCTCTGCTGGTGCTGTGGTTAAGGTCAGCAGTTTGAACCCACCAGCTGCTCTGAGGAAGAAAAATTAGGCAGTCTGCTTCTGTAGACACTTACAATTTGGAAACACTATAGGGGTCAGAATCAATTCAATGACAGTGGACTTTTTAGTGGTACCAAAAAGAATTGGTTGATGTTCAACCATTTTAGGAGGTAGCTAGCATATGATCAAGAACTGATGGTAATGAAGGATGAACTCCAAGCTGCACTGAAGGAATTGGCAAAAAACATGGTCCAGGAAGTGACAGAATACCCACTGAAATGTTTTAACAAATGGATGCAGCACTGGAGGCACTCACTCATTTATGCCAAGAAATCTGGAAGACGGCACCTGGCCAACAAACTGAAAGAACTGATGAAAAAGAATGGATGAATTTGAATTATGGTGTTGGTAAAACATTAAATATACCCTGGACTACCAGAAGAATGAACCAATCTGTCTTGGAAGAAGTGCAGCTGGAATATTCCTACAGTGCAGTGGATTGCTTGGTGTGGCCCTTCCAGCCATCATCCTCCATTTTGTGATGTATTGTAAATCCTAGTCTCTATGCCTAGTGGCATAGCGAATAAGGCATTTAGCTGTTAATCAGAAGGTCAGCGATTGAAACCCACCAGATGCTCCGTGGAAGGAAGATGGGGCAATCTACTTCCGTAAAGATTTATAGCCTTGAAGAAATCAACTCAATGGCAGTGAAGGTGTGGGCTTTTTTGTTTTTTTGTTTGTTTGTTTCTTTCTTTACAATGGGATGTATCTTGAGTCACCACACTTAGCTTCCTTGAGGGTGTATTTGTGAATGTTCTGGGAAAGTTCACTCTCTTACTCTGGTCCTGTGTTTGGTTCGTCATCATCTCACCCCTGGACTTGAGAGAGCAGCCAGTCATCTGACCCACCAACTGGGATTCACCAGCCCCTGCAGCCATATTTGTTGGGGGAATCCTCCAGACCTACCCACAGACTCATTGCCAGCCTCCCAGCCTCCACCACCACCACCACCACGTGAGCCATTTCCTTAGGAGTCTGTGAGTTCTGTGAGATGTTACAGTGACATATGCAACCCTAAGACAGGAGACAGAGTGCTGAGGTGGGAGGAGTTGATGTCAGAGATGATGGAGTTGCATAGCAGTTTGGAAAAGTTGAACATCTGGCATCTTTACCCTCTACTTCATAGGGACCAGCCTCATGTTGATCCTTCTAAAAGAAATTATTCAAGCAGCTCCTTAGAAGTAAGGATGGTGAGACTGGACATGCTATCAGGAGGGACTAGTCCCTGAAAAAGGACATCATGTGTAGTAAAGCAGAGGGTTAGAGAAAGAGAGGAAGACCCTCCATGAGATGGACTGACACAGTGGGCTTCAACAGTGGGCTCACCCATGGCAATGACTATGGGGATGGTGCAGCGTCTTGGCAGTGTTTTGTTCCGCTGTACGTGGGTCGCTATGACTGGAACCAACTCAAGGGCATCTAACAAACTATGAGAGAATAAATTTTTGTGTGAAAACCACCCACTTGTGGTATTTGTTGTAGCAGCACTACAGAACTAAGATGACTTTTAATGGCATGTGAATTATATGTTAATAAAGCCATTTTTTTAATATTATTCTCCAAACACAATTGAAATGTCACTTTCATCTTTAGTCCCTTCATAAACTACCTTAAAATTAACTAGTCAGACCTAAAATTCTCCAGCAGAGTTCTTACCTCTGGAGCGTTTATCATACTCCTTTATTAGGGTTATTTTCTGGTGGTGCAGTAGTTAAGGCATTTGGCTGCTAACCAGAAGGTCAGTGGTTCAAACCCACCAACCGCTTCATGGGAGAAAGATGAGGCAGTCTGCTTTCATAAAGATGTACAGCCTTGGAAAACCTGCAGGGGTCGCTATGAGTTGGCATCAGTCGACGGCCTGAGTTTGAATTTTGGTAAGTCTGCTTGAGATCATCAGCTTCAAAGTATAAGAGTGGTCCAGGAGATCTTAATAAGACTTGCCACTGACCCAATGCAGTCCTAAGTATTTTCCAGTTATTCTCTTCATCCTCAGAACAAGCCCCAAGAGATAAATCCTACTATGCCCAATTTCCAGATTAGGAAGATGAAGTACAAACACATCAACTCACAAAGACCCTATAGGACAGATTAAAACTGCCCCACAGAGCTGCTAGCAAACTGTCAACCCAGATTTCAATCCGGACAGCATCTGGCTGAATCCAAGGGGTAAAAACAGTAAGATTTACTCAACCAGAGCATCTTGTGGTTCTAAGCCAGACCCAGGCCAGTCAGCTTCACACTTCGGAGGCTGGGACCTGAGGTCCATTCCGACTCATGGCCACCCCACGTGTGTTGCAGAATAGAAAGCCCAAATGGTTGTAATAGTTAAGGAAGATCACCTGGCCTTTATTCTGTAGCAATGCTGGGTGGGTTCAATCCGCCATCCTTTGGGTTCATAGATAAACACAAAGCATCTGCGCTACCCAGGGACCAAAGATTAAGGCACAGAGGACATGAAAGAAAGATTTAAGAAACCACCAGGGAGTAGATGTCTCCCTGGTGATGTCATCTACCAAAGTAGATGTCTGTGGGGTGGCCCTTGTGGATCTGTGCAGCCGAGGGTCCTCCAAAGTGATGGCAAGAGCAGTAAGCAGAGAAGGAAGCTGGGAAACGTGCAGAGAGTTTGCGGGGACAGCGGGCGCCGACCCTGGACTGCGAGTGGAGGTGCCAGGAGCTCCAGGTAGGCCCTGACCAGCAGGCCACGTAACAGAGCTGGCGCTAGGCTGTGCGTAACCGTAGTGGCAGCTCCGAGTGCAGCGGGGAGGCGGCAGTGGCGGGAGGAGACACAGCACAGGACGCCACAGCCAGCGGGAGCACGTGGGCCTGGGAGAATGACACCGACTACACCATGACCAAGCCAACCTTCTCCGGAAGACCGGAGCCCTCTACCACCCCCGCCTCCCGGGAGGGAGCGGCCGTGGCGCACAGGCGCCCTTGTGGCACAGTCGCGGCGGGACGGAGCCAGAAGCCGGAAGTGTTGCGCGGCGGGGACCGGAACTGCGCACAAGTCCCCCCCGCAGGCCGAATACGGCGTTGCTCGGCAACTGTTGTGAAAACTCCTGGCGGGCTCTCTGCTCCTTGGAGCGAGCCGAATGTAACGCCCACCTACTACTGCTTGGGCTACCTACCGTCTCGCCCGCCTCACTTCTTGCCGCCCTTGCTTGGCTCTCGAAATCCTTGCCCCTGGCACTACTTTCACTACTTATCCGGCTCCCACGACGCTTTAGCGCCCACCTGCCTCAAGGCCAAGCTCCACCGAAAGAGAAGCGGCCCGAAGCCGGACGTGGCCCCGGCGCTAACCGACCGCAGCTCCCCGACCATGGGCACCTACACCTACACCAGCCAGCCCCGGGCCCTGCCCTGCCAGCGTCGCCGCTACCGGGACAACCTGTTGCAGCCGTGAGTGCCCGAGCGCTCTCCCCATGTGCTCTCCATCTGCACCCTGGCCAGGGGGGCGGCGAGGGATGTGTAGTGAGTGGCTGGCATAGTGACAGGCGTACACTTCTCACAAAGTGTGAACCAACCAATGATTACTGATAGCCAGCTATGGACCAAGCACCTTACGGGGGCTGGTTTTTTTTGTTTTTTTTTAAATAAGATATGCCTATCACTTTAAAAAAAGAAAAATAGACAATTTAAATGTGAGAAAGGATTATTTATATTATGAAAAGATTCCGTATAAAAAGCGGACTGCTTTCAAAAACCAATTTCTGGTGCCTTTAAATACAGTGAAACTTGCGAAAGCCAGGACCTTAATAAGGCGGAAACCTGTCAGAGAAGGAAAACGCCAAATATCTTCCACTAGTAGAGCAGGAAAGAAAAGTGATGAGACTGCACCTGTCAGGGGCAGAAAAGCAAAGCGTCTTGTGCCAGCTCCCTCGGGCTTCACTGCACTCGCTTACAAATCATTATGCTTAAATCAGACCAGCAAATAAGATCAACAAAACTTGATTGTGGTTCTTAAGGAACAAATACTTTTGGAGGCAGGGGTGACAGGTAGGATTAATTAATTGGAATAGTGATGTAATTCCTTGATTAGCGTGTTGAGGTATTGCTAAAGACAGTGTTTGGTCCTCTAGTACTGCTCTAACAGGAATACCCCAAAGGGGTGGTTTTAACGAATGCGAATTCATCCTCTTACAGTTTTGGAGGCTAGAAGTCCAAGTTCAAAGTGCCAGCTCCAGGGGCCGGGTGAAGGCCCCTCAACCTTGGGCTTCAGCTCTGCCTCTTGCTCCCAGCCCACTGAAGCTGGATGCTTCTCTTAGCTCAGACAGCTGCTGGCTGCTGAGGCTGACAAACCCAAGGTCGACAAGTAAAATGGCACAGTCCCAAAATTATCAAGCAACAGGGCAGGCCACTAGTTCAAGTCCAGAAACAGTCTCGAGATCAGCAGACAGCATGGCAGGCCACTGAGATGAAGACTCAGCCAAATGCAGGCTCCACATGTGCCAGAAGCTGCAGTAGATTCCACCATGGAGTTGATTGATTACCAGTCTTATCACGGGGAGTAACTACTCCATCCAGCTGCCCAGCCACTCAAAACCAGGCCCAGCCAAGTTGACACACAGCTACCACACACAGTAGAATCTCCACTTCAAAAAAAATAGTTGAGACCACTTCCCATGATAGCGTCATTAATGTTGAAAAATGTCTGGGAGAATACCCATTGCTGTCAAGAGTCAGCAGCAGTGCTATGGAACAGAGTAGAACACCCCTATAGGGCTTCCTAGGCTATAATCTGCACAGAAAGGAGCCCTGGTGGTACAGTGGTTTAATCACTCAGCTGTGCACCAGAAGGTCCCACTCTGTGAGAGAAAGATGTGACAGTCTGTTCCCATAAGGATTACAGCCTTGGAAACTGTGGTGGGGGCAGTTCTGCTCTGTCTTTTAGGGTCACTATGAGTCAGAATTGACAGCAGTGTTTGTTTGTTTGTTTTTAATCTTTATGGAAGCAGACTGCCCCATCTTTCTCCCACATAACCACTGGTGGATTTGAACCCCCATCCTTTTGAGTTAACAGCTGAGTGCTTAACCCTGCGCTGCCAGGGCTCCTTGTCTGTTGACTAAATTTGCTGAAGAGTGACTGGATGTCCACGCCCAAAAAGCGTATGTTTTTGTGTCACCTTGGAGAAAGATCGCTGTCCTGAAAAGTTGTAGACTCTATTTTAATCAGAATTTTATGGTTCAACTGGATAAATCTTTCAGATGACACATAGCTGGAACAGAAAATTAATATGATGGAGGAGAGTCAAAGTTCCAGAGTATCTTGATGGGCCGAAATCAGAAAATGATGTTTAAATGGATGAATATAAATTTGTATGGAAAGTCAATCACAGGAGTACAGAAACAGGAATACCTGACTTTCCATTTGGAAAGAATCTAGAATTTCTGTCTAACACCACCTTGATGTGATTTAGGTGGTTTAAGGCCTGGTGACCTAGCCAAAGATTAGCCACGAGTCTACTTTTTCCTAGAATTGTAAATCTTCAATCTCCATCTTCTCGTCTTACAAACAGAACATAATACACTTTTCCTGTACTTGTTGTAGTTAAGTGGCAGTAACCTCCATTAAATTCACCTTTAGGCATGTCTTACTTATCTTGCGATGCTGTGAAAGAAACGCCATAAGAAGGTGGCTTCAACAAACAAATTTATTTCTTACAATTTGTTGTTGTATTATGCGCCATCAATGGTTTCAACTCAGTGACCCTGTGTACAACAGAATGAAACACTGCCATCCTCACAGTCGTTATGCTTGAGTGCATCATTGCAGCCACCGTGTCCATTCATCTCAGTGAGGGTCTTCCTCTTTTTCACTGACCCTCTTGTTGTTGTTATATGCCGTCGAGTCAGACCAGACTCATAGCAACCCCTCCTTGGGTTTCCGAGGCAGTATCACTACGGAAGTAGATTGCCCCATCTTCCTTCCGAGGAGTGGCTGGTGGATTTGAACCACCAGCCTTCTGGTTAGCAGTCAAGTGCCTTAGGCACTACGCTACCAGAGCTCCTAGCACTGATCCTCTGTTGTTGTTGTTGTTATTTGCCATCGAGTCGGCCCCAACTCATAGCGACCCTTCCTTGGGTTTCCGAGGCAGTATCACTACAGAAGTAAGAATGCCCAACCTTGTGAAGAGAAGGGCAATGTACCAAATGTGAGTGACCAGTATGGCAGCATTGAGGATGAGAAAGACAGAGAGAGTTACATGGGCAGTACAAACAACAAATATGAACCCCTTTGTAAATATAATACTGAGTTGTCAATGAAAGCAAACATGGGTATAGGGACGGATAGATGGGTGAACAAGCTAAACAATTATGTATGTCTAAGTGGAGAGTGTATCCAAGATCATATACAGGGTTGGCAGACAATGGGCCTCTCGAAGAGTATGAAGGGATGGACACTGGGAGGAGGTAACTATGGGGAGGAAGTGGGAGGGGAGCTGCTGCATTGTAAATTTTGGTCAATGACATGAGACAAAGTATATGTGAACTGCTGCATGAAAAGTGAATTTACTCTGTAAATCTTCACCCAAATCCTAATAAAAAAATAAAAAGAAAAAAAAAAAAAGAATGCCCAACCTTGATCCTCTAGCAGCATGATAATCTTCCTCTGGGGACTAGTCCCTCCTGATCACATGATCAAAGATGGAAAGACCAAGTCTGGCCATTCTTGCTTCTAAGGAGCAGTTGAACTACACTTCCAACACAGATTTGTTCATTCTGGCTTTCCATGGTATATTCAATATTCTTCACCAACGCCATAATTCAAATGCAGTCTTACTTATTCAGTGTACAGTTTTCTTACAGTTTAGGAGGCCACAAGTCTGAATTCAGGGTACCAGCCTTAGCGGAAGGTTCTCTCTCTGTGTCGGCTCTTTGGGAGGGACTGTGTCTCTCAGCTTCTGTTTCCTAGTTCCTTGGCTTGCCATTTACCTTCCCCTATCATTGTTTCCTTAATCTGCTCATTTTATAGACCTTAGAACATGATTTTTATTTGATCCTGCCCAGTTCAATCATTGGGCTATGCAGAATAAGGATCCCCAAAGAATAATGGCCATCATTCCAGGAATCAATGAATATATTACCTTACATGCAAAAGGGACTTCACAGGTGTGATCAAGGATCCTGAGATGGCGTGGTTATCCTGTACTATCCAGGTGGGCCCAGTATCATCACAAGAGGGAGGCAAGAGGGGCAGAGGAGGAGGAGGAGATGCAAGATGGAAGCAGAGATTGGAGGAATGGAATTAACTAGAAGGGGCCACAAGTCAAAGAAAGTGGGCCGCCTCTAGAAGCTGGAAAAGTCAAGGAAACAGATTTTCCAGTAGAGCCTTTGGGGGAGCACAGCCCTGCCCATAGCTTGATTTTAACCCAGAGAGACCCATTTTGGAGTTCTGGCTTCCAGTCATGTTGTTGTTGTTATGTGCCGTCGAGTCAGACCCGACTCATAGCGACCCCTCCTTGGGTTCCGAGGCAGTATCACTATGGAAGTAGATTGCCCAACCTTCCTTCCGAGGAGTGGCTGGTGGGTTTGAACCACCATCCTTCTGGTTAGCAGTCAAGTGCCTTAGGCACTATGCTACCAGAGCTCCAGTCATGTAAGATAATAAATTTGTGTTGTTTTAAGCCACTGAATTTGTGGTGATTTTTTCCAGCATCAGGAGAACACTAATGGGATCACGGCCTCAGACAGAACTGTGTTGTTTGGCGTTTATCTGTGCTTTATCCAGATGTGCCTGTTTTCTCCATGTGTCCTGCCCAATGAATGCTCTTTACATCTATTTCCATATCCAAACCGGAATGGATTTAACTTCATGTAGGTGGTCACTATGAGTCAGATCTGACTCCACGGCAGTGAGAATGATTAAGTGCCAGAGTTAGGGGATGTTGGTGTGTTGGAAACCTTGCCCACTACTCATCTGTCAGTCTGTCAGGCTGTGGTGGTTTGTGTGTTGCTATGATGCTATAAGCTTTGCCTCCAGTATTTCAAACCCCAGCAGGGTCAGCCATAGAGGACAAGTTTCAGGGAACTCTTAGACTAACACAGACTAGGAAGAAAGGCCTGGCAATCTACTTCTGAAGATTAGCCAATGAAAACCTTATGGGTCACAACAGAACACTGCCCAGCTTGCCTGTTTTGAACACATTATCGGGAGGGATCAGTCGCTAGAGGAGGACATCGTGTTTGGTCACAGGGCCAGTGAAGGCAGGGGTCCTCCGTGCAGTGGATTGGCACAGTAGCTCCAACAATGGACTTGGACATGGTGGGAATCATGAGGGTGGCGCAGGGCTAGGCAAGGTCCCCACGAGTCAGAGTCAGCAGCAGTTAACAGCAGCCTTGGAAACCATCACCCTGTGATTCCATAAGAGCTTAGAGACATCTGCAGGTAGTAGAGAAAAGACCCAACAGGACTGCAAAATTACCAACTGTTAAGATGAGCTCTAGAGGCAAGTGGAAGTTTAGGCGGTTTTTAATGGGTCTGTTAAGGTCTCTGTCCTCACTCAGATGGCGCAGATGACCCCAGCAGAGAAGTACAGTGCTGTGGATGGCTGGTGTCAGGAAGGGTGAAAAAATTGGAGAATGGATCTATGTCTGACCTCTGCCTCCTAGGAATCAGCTTCAGGCTGATGGTGGCTCTCTCACCCCCTCATGACTTTAGGTGGCTTCTGATGCCACTTAGATACACACTGAATTGTGCAGAAGGGACAGAGCCCTATGTACCCTCTCCCCTGCGCACTGTCTCTCCTGTTGGGCCTTCCGTTCCCGTGGCCATATGCACTGTACATCCCGTCACGTGACCATTTCGGTTCCTCAGCATCCTCACCAGCAGTGGAGGATGGATTGTTGGTTTTTGATGGTATCATGGGGCCAGAATCATTCCTCATTATTACTTTAATTAGCACTGTTGTTGTTAGGAGCCACTGAGTCAGTTCCAACCCATAGTGACCCCACATACAACAAAACCAGACGTCACTCGGTATTGCACCGGCCTCTTTGAGCTCATTGTTGAGGGCTTGTCTTCCAGCACTTTATCAGACAGTGTCCCTATCCATAAATTTGTCACTGGCTTTTTTTTTTTTTTTTCTTTTTCTTTCTGGAAGTAAATCCACCAGGTCCTTCCTCTTCATCCGTCTTAGTCTGGAAGCTCCTCTGAAACCTGGCCACCTTGGGTGACCCAGCTGATATTTGACATACCAGTGACATAGCTTCTAGCATCACAGCAACACACAAGTCACCACAAACTGACAGACAAACGGTGGTAATTAGCCATGTTGTTGTTGTTATGTGCCATTGAGTTGTCTCTGACTCATAGTGACCCCGTGTACAACAGAATGAAACACCAACCGGTCCTGTACCACCCTCACAATCCCTATTATACCTGAGCCCATCATTGCAGCCACCATGTCAGACCATCTCATTGAGGGCCTTCCCCTCTTTTGTTGACCCTGCACTTTACCAAGCATGATATTCTTCTCCAGGGAATGGTCCCTTCTGACAACATGACCAAAGTAGGTGAGACGAAGTCTGGCCCTTCTTGCTTCCAAGGAGCATTCTGGCTGTACTTCCTCCAGGACAGATTTGTTAGTTCTTTTAGCAGTCCATGGTACTTTCAGCATTCTTTGTCAACACTACAACTCAAAAGCATCAACTCTTCTTTAGTCTTCTTTATTCATTGTCCAGCTCTCACGTGCATATGAGGCAATTGAAAATACCATGGCTAGGGTGAGGCACATCTTAGTTTTCAAGGAGATATCTTTGCTCTTCAGCACTTGAAAGAGGTCTTTTGCAACAGATTTGTTCAATGCAATATGTCTTTTGATGTCTTGACTAGTACTTCCATTGGTGTTGATTGTAGAATCAAGTAATACAAAGTCTTTGACAAGTTCAGTCTTTTCTCCATTCATTGTGATGCTGCTTATTGGTCCCATTGTGGAGCATTTTTGTTTTCTTTATACTGAGGTGTAAGCCATATGGCAGACTGTGGTCTTTAATCTTCATCAGCAAGTGCTCCAAGTCATCCTCACTTTCAGCAAGCAAAGTTGTATCATCTGTGGATCTCAGGTGTTTATGAGCCTTCCTCCCATCCTAATGCCACATTCTTCTTCATGTAGTCCAGCTTCTCGGATTATTTGCTCAGCATACAAATTGAATAAGTATGGTGAAAGGATACAACCCTGACGCACTCCTTTCTTGATTTTAAACCATGCAGTATCCCCTTGTTCTGTTCAAACAATAGCCTCCTGATCTATATACAGGTTCCTCATGAATATAATTAAGTGTTCTGGAATTCCCATTCTTCTCAATGTTATCCATAATTTGTTATGATCCACACAATCAAATGCTGTTCCATAGTCAATAAAACACAAGTAAACATCTTTCTGGTATTCTTTGTTTTGAGCTAAGAGCCATCTTACTTCAGCAATGATATCCCTCACTCCACATCCCCTTCTGAATCCAGCTTTCATTTCTGGAACTTTGCTGTCAATATACTGCTGCAGCCATTTTTGAATTATCTGCAGTAAGATTTTACTTGCATGTGATATCCATGATACTGTTCGATAATTTCCACATTCTGTAGGATCACCTTTCTTTGGAATGGGTACAAATATGGATCTCTTCCAGTCATTTAGCCAGGTAGCTGTCTTCCAAATCTCTTGGCATAGCCGAGTGAATGCCTCCAGTGGGGCATCCATTTGTTGAAACATCTCAGTGGGTATTCTGCCAATTCCTGGAGCCACAGGAGGTTTTAAATAAGTAAGCATTGTGTTTGGATTTTCCATATGAGATCACTGGCTGCCATGTAAACAGCAAGTTGAGGGAGCAGTGTTGTTCAGGCAGCTACAAGTCATCCACGTAAAGGGCAGTGGTGGCTGCAAGTGGTGGATGGATGTGAGAGATTTGAGGGCAGAGTGGATAGGACTTACTGGATGTGGGGGTGGGTAAGACGGACAAGTCAGCGATGACCACCAGCGTCCTGGGCCAGTGGGTGGTGAGCAGTACCATTTACTGAGATAGGGAACACTTAAGACATCAGGAGAGGAAATGGCCTGCAAGACTTAGTTGAATTTTGAGGTTGTCTCGGAGACACCCTGTGAGATATCAGTGGGCAATGGGGTATGTGTGCCCCAAGCTCAGAGGAGAGAGCTGAGCCAAAGAGCCAATAAAACCAGGAGTTTTAGATATTGGGATCCTAGTTGCAGCCTTGACAGTAGATGGGTGTAGACAGCTGAGGACAAGAGAAGGCTGAGCACTGAGGAAACCTTCCTTTGGGGTGGGGGAGCCACCAAAGGCCAGCCAAGCACAGGAAGACGACAGTAGAGTCCTGGGCCAGGAAAAGAGAGTGCTCCGCGAAGGAGACCGGTTGAGCTGCACCCAGCAGAGGGCCAGCAAGATGAGGTTTTATGTCACATGGAGTCAGGTCATTCATGAGTGGCTTCAGAGCATGACAAGGAAGCAATTTACTGCCCTCGGAAAATCACGCCTGACAGAGGACTGTTACTGATAGAGGCTGGTGTTTCATTTCATAGCAGTAAATAGGACGTGACTTAAGGAATTCTGAGTGAAAATACCATGCTGTATTTTTCACAATTGATTCACTCTGATCCTTAAATTAAAACCGTTAACATTGATGACAGTACCTTTTAAAAATATCATTGAGTTGAAAGAACAATGAGAAATACGACTTATTTTTTTAAGCCAGGTTATTTTATCAGCGTAACTTTCAAATCCTGCAGTCAAACTTCTGTCAGTCCTTTAGGGCGGGCCCCTTTCCACAGGGGCCATTTTCACCTGTTAACTAGGCCACCAGGTATGCAGTCTAAATGCAGTTCGGCCTCTTAGTCGCTAGGTGGCCTCAGGCAGATAGCTCCCTGGGTCTGTGTCCTCTTCTGGCCAGTGGGAGTCATAGGACCCCAGCACGAAGACTTCTGGCAAGGAAGGAATAAAATAATGTACGTGAAGGGCCTGGCTTATAATAAGCATTCCACAAATGGCCGCCTTGTGTCTTCTCATTTTAAGAAATGTGCTAAAACAAACATCTCTTTAAGCATTTTCATCTCAGTCTAAATCTTGCTGAAAATGAGTTCAGTTTACAGATACCAACACTCTAATAAAGTAATTCTTTAAATTTTGCTGTTTTACAGAGATGAAGAACCTGTGCGCTTTGGAAACATAATGTATGACAGGAGGGTGATCCGGGGCAACACGTACGCCCTACAGACATTACCATTGGTTAGTGTAAGCCAAACGCTCTAACCCCCAGCTGCCCACGCCATCCGTGGCAAAGTACATGTTCGTTCATCTGCGTGTTTGTTTGTTGAAGACCAAAACGTTTATAAAATACAATGAAGATACAGGCCAGAAAAAAATGAAATGAAAAAAAAAAAAAGGACACACAATCCAAGGCTCAATTTTTATTATTAGATTCAAAAAAGGCTAATTGCTGTCAGATTGCCCTGAAAGTTTCTAAACTTTTACTCTCAACTTCTGCCCTTCAGTTGTATAGAGCTGCACCGTAGTTCACAGACGGCACTGTGCGAGAGCCGTACTTTCAGTAGTATTGCCCCAACACATAATGAGCTCTGGTGGCGCAGTGGTTAAGGCACTCAGCTAACCAAAAGGTCAGTGGTTTGAATGTACCAGCCACTCCATGGGAGAAAGATGAGGCAGTCTGCTTCTGTAAAGATGTACAGGCTTGGAAACCCTATGGGCAGAGCTCTGGTGGCACAGTGCCTAAGGCATTTTACTGCTAGCCAGAAGGTTGGTGGTTCAAACCCACCATCCGCTCCGCTGAAGGAAAACCAGGCAATCTACTTCTGTAAAGATTTACCACCTCAGAAACCCAATGGGGGTCACTATGAGTTAAAATCGACTCAATAGCAGTGTGTTTGGTTTGTTTTTGTTTTTTGTACAGGATTATTAATGAGTCAGAATCATCTCATCGTCAATGGGTATTTTTTTGGGTCACATTTAGGTCACCATTATCTCATACTCTAATATTGTATCATTATTTAATCAGAAGAGTTATGCTTCTTTTCTTTAATTCACTGCAAATACTTATTGAGCTTTAGGTCCTCTGCTGGGTACCTAGGACACAGAGGTGAGTAAGATATGGTATGGTATTGAATGTAATGATTTCTTGGCACAGAAATGGAAGTTAATAAACAGTGCCTAACACCACATGAAAGGATCTCTGATGGTGTAGTGGTTAAAGCATTCAGCTGCTGACCGAAAAGTCGGTGGTTCAAACCCACCAGACGCTCCGCAGGAGAAAGATAAAGCAGTCTGCCTCCATAAAGATTCATGGTCTTGGAAACCCTATGGGGCAGTTCTACTCTGTCTTATAGGGTCATGATGAGTTGAAATCAACTCAACGTCAGTGGTTTGGTTTAACCCCACATGGGTGTATGTGATACTGCCTTGTAAACCCAAGGAGGGGTTGCTATGATCAGATCTGACTTGACGGCAGTGAGTTTAGGTTGAGACCATGTGAGACAGTGGGTGTGCATCAGAATAAAACTACGTGTGCTTAAGTCTTACCCTTGAGTAACTAAGCTGATAGCTCCAAGGGTTGGACACCCTTGGAATATACATTTTTAGTAAACTTCTCTAGATAAACTTGATATAGCCAATCCAGGGACCAGCATTTGGAATGAATATATGTATATCATAATATAAACATGATATAGACATAATCCAGGAGCTCTGGTAGCATAGTGGCTAAAGCACTTGACTGCTAACCAGAAGGCTGGCGGTTCAAACCCACCAGCCACTCCTCGGAAGGAAGGTTGGGCAATCCTACTTCCGTAGTGATACTGCCTCGGAAACCCAAGGAGGGGTCGCTATGAGTCAGGGCCGACTTGACGGCACATAACAACAACAACAACAACATAGACATAATCCTTGCGGTGGCACCATGAACACTGGCAGATTTTATAACAAATAAGAAAATAGAACCAGCCTGATTTTTAGTTTCCTAGTTACCTAATAAGGAGCTCTGATGGTGAAGTAATTAAGGCATTGGGCTGCTAACCAAAAGGTCAGTGGTTCGAACCCACCAGCCGCTCCACAAAAGAACACTGAAGCAGTCTGCTTCTGTAGAGATTTACAGCCTTGGAAACCCAATGGGAGTTGCTGTGAGTTGGCATCAACTCAATGGCAGTGTCTCGTTTTTTGGTTTGGAGTCACTTACTAGAGCCCTGCTGGTGCAGTGATTAAAGCACTCAGCTGATAACTAAAACATCAGTGGTTTGAACACACCAGCTACTCCATGGGAGAAAGATGAGGCAGTCTGCTTCCATAAAGATTCTAAAATTCCGAACTCAAACTTAAGTGCCACTGAGTGAATTCCAGATCATAGCAGCCCCTTTGGGTTTCCAAGGCGGTAAGTCTTCATGCACATAGATTGCCCAGTCTTCCTCCTGCTGAGTGGCTGGTGGGTCTGAACTGCCAAGCTTCTGGTTGGCAGTCAAATGCCTTAGGCACTGTACCACCAGAGCTCCTTACAGCCTAGGAAACACTATGGGGCAGTGCTCCTCTGTCCTATAGGGTCACTGTGAATCAGAATCATCTTGCTGGCAACAAGTTTTAGTCAGCTAATTAGCACCTGACCTTAAGTCTCCACTGACACTTTCAGACCAGATGGGATTCGCCCATTTCCTCCTAGCTCGCCCACTGAAAGCCCTAGCCACAGCAGAAACAAACACGGAAAGGCTCTGAAGGATGAAAAGCAGAAGGTGCAGTGGCTGGGGACTTTGAGACAAACACAGTGGCAATGAGTTCCCTGGGCTTTCTTTGTGCCTTCCACATACCCCATTCACTGGGAAGGCCGCCAACCCAGACCATCACCAGGGCCAACCCCAGGAAAGCCCACTCCCTCCAGCCAGAAAACTGGGAAGAGGGCAGCCTAGCCAAACAGAACACCTTTGGACAATACTACCCCTACGCTAGGGAGCTTTGGTGGCATAGTGCCTAAGGCATTTGACTGCTAACCAGAAGGCTGGCAGTTCAAACCCACCAGCCACTCCTCAGAAGGAAGGTTGGGCAATCTACTTCCATAGAGATACCGCCTGGGAAACCCAAGAAGGGGTCGCTATGAGTCGGATCCGACTCGACGGCAGTGGGTTTGGTTTTTGGTTTACCCCTACTCTAGCCAAATACCAACAAAAACTGTCCTGTCCCTCCCCACAGTGTCACCAAGGCTGAGGGGGGAGCTCAACTTCATCTCCACGTGGCAGCAAGAAGGCAGTGTGAGTTGATCCTCTGCGCCCCCATTGAAAGAGCAGAAGGATAGAAAGGGAATACTGCAAACTAACATGCATCCAGAGACTCGGATGAAATGAATCCTCCAATCTGTAAACCACCAAAACTCACCCAATACGAAGTAGATCATCTGAATAGTTCTGTAATAGTAAGGAAATTGCATTTCCAATTAGAATCTTCCAGAAGGGACGTCTCCAGCCCCAGGTGTTTTCACTGGAGGATTCTACAAACATTGAAATAATTACTAGCATCACTTCTGTGCAATATCTTCCAGTAAATAAAAAAAGAGGGAATACTGCCCACCTCATTTCTTGAGACTGGCATTGCCCCAATACTCAAACCACACAGACAATAAAAAAGAAAACTACAGACCAGTATTTTTCATGAAGTTAGATACAAAAGTCCTCAGTAAAATATTAACAAGTAGAATCCAGCACTATATTAAAAGTCTTCTGCAGCACAACCAAGGGGGGCTTATCACAGGAATGCAGGGATATTTCAGTACTTAAAATTCACTCAATGTAAAGCCACCACACCCACAGCTCAAGGAAGCAAAATCACATCCGATTCGTTGATGCAGAAAAGCCATTAAAATTCAGCGTCCATTAGTGGTGAACACAGCAGACTAGGAACCGACAGGAGCATGGTCAAGTGGACACAGCGGCCACGGTATCTACGGCTGATGCTGTACTTGATGGTGGGAAACTGAGAGCTTTCCCCCAGGATCAGGAGCAAGACTAGGCTGTCCGCTGTCCCCACTGCCACCCAACATCAAACCAAACCAAACTCCTTGCCGTCGAGTCAGATCCGACTCGTGGCAACCCCACCTTGGGTTTCCGAGGCAGTATCCCTATGGAAGTAGATTGCCCAACCTTCCCTCCGAGGAGTGGCTGGTGGGTTTGAACCGCCAGCCTTCTGGTTAGCAGTCAAGTGTCTTAGGCACTACGCCACCAGAGCTCTGGAAATACTAGCTAGTGCAGTAAGGAAGACCCCGAGACGAGAAAGGAAGAAATGAAATTGTCTCGATTTGCAGGTCCCATGATTAAAAAGAAAAACCAAACTCACTGCCCTTGAGTCCATCCGACACATAATGACCCCCTTTGGGTTTCCGAGGCAGTAAATCTTTATGGAAGTAGACTGCCCAGTTTTCCTTCCAAGGAGTGGCTGGTGAGTTTGAACCGCCAGTCTTCTGCTTAGCAGTCAGATGCCTTAGGCACTAGCCACCAGAGCTCCTGGTAAGGTGACTAGCGACATAAAAAATCCCGAAGAATCTACACAAAATTGGACAGCACCGAATTGGACAGCTTCCCTGGTTCCCTTCTGTTTCCCTGAGTACCTTGAGATAAGACAGTTCGCTCTGAGGAGGATCGTCGTCCGTTCGCCGGCCTCCACATAGCGAAGAGCTGCGGTGAACCCCGTGAAGGCCACGGTCATGCCCTTCGCCGCCGCCCTGCGCACCCCACGGGCTGCATGGGGAGCGAGGAGATTTTCCTTGTGAGCTAAGGTGGTGCTCTAAGGAAATCTTGTCCAAATGAAATTCAGATTTAGAAGAAAAAAAATCTAGCCCTGTTTAATTTCTTACCTGTTTAGAGTAAGGGACTGTGACCCTCCGCGTCCGCGCAGCAGCGGAATTCGTGGTGCAAACGCCCAGCGAGGACGCTGGAGCCGTTTGCCCCAGGGAGCAGCCACGCTCAGGAGGTGGCCTCTGCTGCCACGCAGCCGTCACCGCCTGACAGCCCCCACAGCTGTGCCCTCCGCTCGCTGACCAGCCGGAGCGTCATCAGGACAGCGGCCCCGGGCTGCAGGAGGCACGCGTGGAGGCAGGGCTCCCGCTCGAGGTAAAGGCTTTTCTGTCACCGTCAGGCCGGGCAGCAGGACCCCCTGGAGCTCCAGAGGCAGCAGCAGGCCAAGCGGCGGACCCTGACCCGGAAGCGAGCCCAGGAGCAGCTGCGACCGCGCACGCCCGAGCCGGTGGAAGGCAGGAAGCACGTGGACGTGCAGACAGGTGTGTCCCCGGCCCCTGGCGCCCTGGCGCCCTGGCTTTGCCCACGCCCTGCAGGGCTGTCTGTCCTTGCTCTGCTGTGTACGTCTCTGGCGTGCGGCCCCTCGGTGCCCGGTCACGTGGTGCCACACAGGGCATGTTGTTATATTGGGTGTGGCTGGAGGTGTGCGAGGGCCACGTACGTGTCCTTGTCTCAAACTGGGGTGACTGCCCACTTCTCTTCATCCCCCAAAGGGAGTCCCTGCTCTTTTTATCAGGACTTGCAGGGGGGCAGGGCGGTGTGAGATGGGGGGACCCGGTTCACTTGGGCATTTTGTGCGCCTGCGAGAGGAGGACACCCACTCAGAGGTGAGGGCCATCCGCCCCACTCCCAGGCCCTGCCACTCTGTCCGCTTGTTCCTGTTCGCTTTGCACCTTCCTGCAGCCTCACAGGCTCTCCTGAGGCCAGTGCCAGGCCTCTTCCTACTCATCTAACTGTCCTGAACGCTTTGAAGGCCGACCTAGACCATGGTGCCTAGCTATGTTATTGGACAGAATCCCGGCTGTCAGACAATACTTGGTGTTTTCCTTGGACAAGCTAGCTACTCAGGAGCCAGCTGGTGCTCTGGTCAGATGTGAGTGGAGTCGCCAGGGTTCTCTGTGGGAGCTAAGGACAAAAGACAAAGAACCTTTCCACTTGAGGGCCAGGACCTGAGGCCAAGTCTAACATGTAGGTCTGTCGGTGACTCGGCAGTTTTGTCACAGCTCTGGGAGCGGGCTTTCCTGTTTTGCTAACCACAAGACCAATAACCAACAGGAGAGCAGCCCCCTTCTGCTAACTGTTTCCTGTGTCTCAGACACTTCACCAGGTCCTTTCCTTCGTATCTGCTTTCATTGCAAAGACTTCAGGAGACAGATCCTTGGGATCCCGCTTACAGAGATGAAGACACTGAGGCGCAGAGAGGCTGTCACTGGTCTAGGCCCCATGTTCAACATCTGCCTGTAGGCTCATGTTCTTGACATGCTGCCACATTGCCCCTGCCTCATATGGGTTCTTCCTGAGGTGAAACTTGGTTTCATGTATGTTTATAATCTATCATGTAGAGAGAACATCAAGTAACATGGTGACATGGTGCATGAGTTTAAAAACCAGGAATTTGCAAATCATTACAGTCGTCATCTGAGGACTCCATCACACATACACGGTATTAGTTTCCCGCCCGATTCTGCTTTACCATCTAATACCCACTCCGGTCCTGGGCTCTTTTTGGTTCCCTTTTCAAATACAAAGGTCAGTGCTTTCTAGACATTGAATAAATGTTCTCTGTCCTCCGATACATGAAAACTCTTAGTTCATTGTGTCATTGGAGCGCCACATGTGGTGGGCACTTTCTTTCTAAGACTTATTTTCTGATGCATTTAATTCTATTTTAAAGGAGCTGTCATTTCAAAATACACATTTATGCTTGAAATAGACAAGAATTTCAAACTCAATGTATATGGTATTCTTCTTAGAATTATACCTTGAAGAAATTGCTGACCGCATAATAGAAGTTGATATGGAATGCCAGACAGATGCATTTTTGGACAGACCACCGACACCACTCTTTATTCCCGCCAAAACTGGCAGAGATATGGCCACCCAGATCCTAGAAGGAGAGGTAAAGGACACACTTGGGCTTCCCTTTATATTTTGTATAAGTGAAAGCAGTGAGGTTTAGTTAAAAACTTAATATGGCCTAGAACCACTTCACAATCAGAAAGATTCTTCTCATTGGATTTAACCTAGATATTGTCTATAATAATTTTTCCTGCAATACTAGAAATGTTTTTAAATACAATGTTCTGATTCTTCCTCTTTGCTGATCAAGAATGAAATCATTACAGATATTTTTAGAATATGTAACTGTTTGATTGTTAGCATACTAGGTAGGTATGTATACTAGGTGGACTTGTACCAAATAGGGAAAGTGGTGTCCTACTATAACAGATACCCCTATTGGCTGCTTGGGGAACACTTGACTTTCATGAAGACAGTCCCTCTGGGTTACAAATAACCATAAACTAATGGCATATTTTTTATGTGGATGCATACGTAGGGCAGTTTATGAAACTAAAGAGTGGACGGAAATGTTCACATGCATAAGACTTAAAGAAGCTTTAAAGAACTGCCATTGAGATAAAGTGCCTTTCAGAAGCCACACAGGAGAGTCCGTTGCCTCTAAGTCCTAGACATGAATCACCAAAATCCCACTGTTCTTGTCCCTTAGTTCATCAGACCATTGTCAGAACAACCAGTAAACACTAAGCAGAAAATAACAGTGAATAAGAAAGCCTTTGCATCTTGCTGATGTTTGTAACTTTGGCTTCCTGGAGTTTTGCCCATAAACCAAATGCTGTTGGGTGTTTCTGGCAGGGTTGCTCTGAGCACTGGGGACCCCAGATAAAGCCCCAGCACAGAGCCTGGCACACAGAAGATGCTCATGTAGTTTCTATCTGACTACTGCTGTATTCTCTCCTACTTCTTTCTTGGGCATGCAGTTCATGATGACAGTTTCGAATTTGTTGTATTCTGTATATTTCAGCTCTTTGATTTTGATCTTGAAGTCAAACCAATGCTGGAAGTTTTGGTGGGAAAGACCATCGAGCAGGCTCTTCTGGAAGTAATGGAGGAAGAGGAGCTGGCCAACCTGCAGGCCAATCAGTACGCTTACGAGGAACTGCGGAATGTGGAGCTCGCTGAAGTTCAGCGGCTTGAAGAGCAGGAGAGGCGACACCGAGAAGAAAAAGTACAGGACCCTCTTCCTTTCGTAGATAACGTTTGGCTACTTGACAGATTACATCCAGAATTACATGTGCTGTGTCACTTATGGCAGATGCGAAGCATCTTTGGCATTATAGAGAAGGCCGTCCTTGTTTGGTGTACGTCAGTATGTGCCACTCAGGTGTTCCTCTTCTCTGAATAGACCCTTCATAGACAGATCACAGGAACTCTGGTGGCATAGTGCCTCAGGCACTTGACCGCTAACCAGAAGGCTGGCAGTTCAAACCCACCAGCTACTCCTCAGAAGGAAGATGGGGCAATCTACTTCCATAGAGATACCGCCTCAGAAACCCAAGGAAGGGTCGCTATGAGTCAGGTCCGACTCGATGGCACATAACAACAACAACAAGACAGAGCACACATTTCCGAATCCATCTTACATATATGTGCCTACATTGAGTTTCCAAGCGTCCCTGAGTGGAATCATTTAACTTCCAAATGTCTTAAACATGAAGAATCCTAGAGGAAGAAATAGCTTGAGTTGCCAAAGTCAGTGGCAGGAAAGGTGGAAAGAGGGAAGAGTGGGACATAGTTGGGGTAGGCAGGGGGCAAGGGGTGGAGGACCCGGAGGGAGCCCGGTTCCTGTCCTGAGTGGCCCGGCCTCCCCTACGCCCTTAGGTATACCCACAACTTGGTCATTAGGGAATGAGTGTCGGCTTATAGGTGTTTAGAACCTTCAATACATAAAGCTTTATCATCCAGTTTTTAAAATATGCCAGTGACCTTCCAGGTAGGAAGCTCTGGGCTCAGTCATCCTGGAGAGCTTTCTGGTTCTAGCGTTAACTGTCACGTGTGCTATATACAGAACAAGCAAATGATAGGGTAGTGCCTCAGTACCTAAAGGGTTAACATGATTCCCCAAGAGCCTAACTTACTACGGAGAGTAGTGCTGGGACAGTCTGCTCAATCCCTAATCAAATGAACTTTAGGTTTTCCTCCAGAATGAATAATTAGTAATCATGCAAAGAGTCGGGGTTTTCTGGTAAGGACTGTGCAAATGCAAGACTGTTGGCTTGCAAATAAGGACACTACAGAGTGAGCTTTGTTGAAACACTCGGTGAAATCTTTATCAGGGAATACTTATTTCTTTATTTACTATTAAGAAATGTATGATAGAATGAATGAATAATATAAATCATTTAGACTTACTTTTGCTAAACCCTTGAAAATAGCTAGAAAATATACTAATTTCATGGCAATAGAAAACTTTATTCTATGGTCTGAATAAAGCAACAATGAAAAATAAGAGGCTCCTACAATCTTTAGAACCATTTGAACTTTATGAATGCAAAGAATTATTGCAAACAACTTGATTCAATGCCCCAAGCTCTTTAATTGAAGATGTCTAAGCAGCTAAAATTTGCACATCATCAACACTTTGTGAGGATAATCATTAAAAAAAAAAAAAAACCACCTGTATCTTTATGGTACCATCGTACAGTCAAACATGTATTTTTAGAAATAATTTTACTTGAAAATGGATCAGATGAGTTTTGCCTCAAGCTCTATCCTTTCTGTCTTTCTGAATTTAGTGTCCATTAGCTGGTGAAATTCATTAAAATCTTGATGGGGGAAAAAAAACGAACCCTTAACAGATAGATCCCTTGCTGTCCTTTTTCCCGCGGAGCTAGAAACACATTCCCGACCTCCCACACACTGGCTTCGCTAGACTCCGTGTCTGAGAAGCACACCCAGGCCGGGAGCAGTCCCTGATGAGCTCCCCTCTCCGCAGGAGCGTCGTAAGCAGCAGCAGTGGGAGATCGTGCACAAACACAACGAGACCGCCCAGAAGATCGCTGCGCGCGCCTTTGCCCAGCGCTACCTGGCCGACCTTCTGCCGTCCGTGTTCGGCAGCCTCCGGGACGGCGGCTACTTCTACGATCCCATTGAAAGAGGTTCGTGGAGCCTTCACTGTTCACAAGCATCCTCTGGATGGTTCACTTTTATCTCACGCCCATTTTACTTTGAGTTGGAATCTTTCCATCTCTGAAACAAACAAAAAGTCGATTGTAGTTACTTTAAGTAAGTACCATTGCTAGTAAGAGGTGTATTATAAAGTTCTCGATTTTAGGATGCTAGCTTTTCTTTATTGAGAAGCAAAATGGGGCACTAGAAAGACATCGGGCTTGATGTCAAACACTTGCGCTCGGGTCCCAGGGGCAGCATTTGTCTTCCCTGCCTGTGAAATGAAGGTTATTTAGGTGAAGGTTATGCAGGAGTTAGTCACAGTGTGTATGAAAACTTGGTGTGCACTGCAAAACGCCGGGTGTGTATGTAAGGATGTGTTGTGAAACTTTTTCGATTCCTTTGGGGGCAGTCGTTGAACTTATTCGTTCATTCAACAGACACTAATTAGATACTGATAGTAAAGGGTCAAAATGACTCAAAGAGCAAATACTTGGGTCATTATAGGATAATTTTCAGGTTCTAGGTGTTTAGAACCTTCAATAAGTAAAGTTTTATAATCCAGTTTTTAAAATATGCCAGTGACCTTCAGTTAGGAAGCACTGGGCTCAGTCATCGTGGAGCATCTTCTGGTCCTGGCACTGTCAGGAAACATCAAAGGAAGATGGAAAGAATACACAGAGTCACTGTTCCAGAAGAAGTGATGGACATTCAGTCATTTCAGCAGGTAGGATATGATCCAAGAACCAGCGGTACTGAAGGAAGAAGTCCAAGCTGCACTGAAGAAATTGGCAAAAAACAAGACTCCAGGAATTGACGGAATAACTATTGAGATGTTTCAACAAATGGATGCAGCTGTGGAGGCACTTACTCATCTACGCCAGGAAATTGGAAGAAAATTACCTGGTCAACTGACTAGAAGTGACCCATCTTTGTGCCTATGCCAAAGAAAGGTGATCCAACAGAATGTGGAAATTTTTTGAAAAATATCATTGATATCACACAGAAGTAAAATTTTGCTGAAGATAATTCAAAAACAGTTGCAGCAGTACATGGACAGAGAATTGTCAGAAATTCCAGTCAGATTCAGAAGAGAACACGGAGTGAAGAATATCATTGCTGATGTCAGATGGATCTTGGCTGAAAACAATGAATACAAGAAAGATGTTTACTTGTGTTTCATTGACTATGCAAAAGCTATCAATTGTGTGGATCGTAACAAATTGTGGATAACATTACAAAGAATGGGGATTCCAGAACATTCCATAGTACTCAGGAGGAACCTGTACATAGACCAGGGGGCTGCTGTTCAAACAGAACAAGGGAATACTACAACCAGGAAGGATGTGCATCAGGGTTCTATCCTTTCACCAGGTTTTTTTCAATCTGTGTGCTGAGCAAATAATCCAAGAAGCTGGACTATGAAGAAGAATGCGGCATCAGGATTGGAGGAAGACTCATTAACAACCTGCAGTATGCAGATGACACAATATTGCTTGCTGAAAGTCAAGATGACTTAAAGCACTTACTGATGAAGATCAAAGACTACAGCCTTCAGTATGGATTACGCCTCAGCATAAAGAAAAACCCTCACAAGTAGACCAATAAACAACATTACTATAAATGGAAAAACGATTGAAGTTGTCAGGGATTTCATTTTACTTATATCCACAGTCAGTGTCCATGGAAGCAGCAGTCAGGAAATCAGATGACATATTACACTCGGCAAATCTGCTGCAAAAGACCTCTTAAAAGTGTCAAGAACAAAGATGTCTGTTTGAAGACCAAGGTGTGCCTAACGCAGACCATGGTGTTTACAGTAGCTTCATATGCATGTGAAAGCTGGACAAGGAATAAGGAAGACTGAAGAAGAATCGATGCCTGTGTTGATGTTGGTGAAGAGTACTGAAAAGACCTTGGACCTCCAGAAGAACGAACACATCTGCCCTGGAAGAAGTGCAGCCAGAATGCTCCTTAGAAGCAAGAAGGGCCAGACTTCTCTTACCTACTTTGATCATGTGGTCGGAAAGGACAAGTCCCTGGAGAAGAATTTCATGCTTGGTAAAGTGGAGGGTCAGAGAAAAAAGGGAAGACCTTCAACGAGATGGACTGACACAGCGGCTGCAATGATGGGCTCGAGCGTCGCAAGGACTGTAAGGCTGGAGCAGGACCGGGCAGTGTTTCGTTCTGTTGAACATGGGTCCCCTATGAGTAGAGGCCGGCTCTACGGCACCTACCAACAACAATAACAATTAGGTTCTCAGACTGTGCCACGCACTGTATTAGGTGTGTTGGGGATTAAAGCACCTGACCTCAGCCTTCGCGGAGCCATGGCCTGCCAGCTCTCTCTTGGCTTCCCCTCAGAGCCAGCCCTCCTCAGCTAGTGCGGCCAGATGAAGGGTCGGAGTGTTGCCACTTTCCCACTGCCACCCTCCTTCCTGAGGTTAAAAAGCTCTTACAGCCACACTGCTTTGTGGATAAATCCTGCATCACTTGGCCAATAGCATTTGGGGGCAGCTGTTCAGAATGTTGATTTTCATTGATTACATACTCAGTTTGCCTAGAGATCAGATGACACACGACATTGTGAGTTTACATTTCCTTCACATTTTCCGATGTCCTTCGCATTCCTTATCTGTCGAGCAACAGATAGATTCCCATTTGTCAAAAGCAGAAACTACAACTCAGAGACCATCTTGGCCCCACATGCTTAGCTGCTCAGTGAGGTCCACTCGGTGAGTGGAACTCTGACTCAGCAGGTCCGGTGTTTTCTCTGAGAGGATCCCCTACTGTGAGTCACAGATACCAGTACCATTTTTCCTGCCCTGGATTGGTGGCCTGCAGAAAAAAAAGTCAGTTACACATCACCTCAAAGCTTAGGAATGAAATTCAAGTCCAAGATTAAAATTATTTATCATTATGAAGACAACAAACTGTCATTCTCTCCACTGTCACCCTATTGAAAAATGACAATTAAATGGCTGCCAAAAACTCATAACCAAACTCACTGCCCTCAAGTCCATTCCAACTCATAGCGACCCCCTTTGGGTTTCTGAGGCGGTAAATCTTTATGGAAGTAGATTGACCCATCTTCCTTCTATTGAGTGGCTGGTCATTTGAAATGCCAGCCTTTTAGTTAGCAGTCAGATGCCTTAGGCACCGTGCCGCCAGAGCTCCTTAGCTGCCTGCCACCACACCCCACACCCCAGAAAAGAAGGGAAAGTTCTGTTCAGCTTCCTTCAGGCCCTGGGCTTCAGGTGGGAGCCTTCCTTTGACAAGGGGGCCCACTCCCAAAGTTGTGCTGTTTGGGGAGCTCCACCCTCACACCCACATCTTCCGCCTCGCCTCTTCCACCCCGCTCAGACTGCAACCTACAAAGTAAGCTTTGACTCCAAAGAAAGCCGCCTGGTTCTGAAAATCACTTCTCTACTGCAATAGAAAGAAAACTGACCAGAACATACATCGCCAGAGATCTACTTCCAAAAAATCTGCCTCCGGACACCTATGGAGCCCAGTCCTTCTGGGACACACATGGGACCGCCATGACTGGAGTCACCTCTGATGGCTGGTTTTGGTAATGAGTCCGTTGACATTTTCTGTTAAGGAAACGATGTTGATGAATGTGTTACATTAGGAGAAGAGCCCAGATACTTCCCATCCAGAACGATTCCGAGAAAAATCACGCTGAGGAAATTCCTTCTTTCTTCTTCTTTTTTGGATCACAGATATTGAGACGGGATTCCTTCCATGGCTCATGAATGAAGTTGCCAAAACCATGGAACACAACATGGTGGGAAGAGCAGTGCTGGACAGTAAGTTCTGTTTCCTTTCAGTCCTCTCTCAGAGTTTGCAGTATGATGTACATTGCATGTTGTTGTTGGTGTTGTTGTTGTTTGCCATCGAGTCGGCCACAACTCATAGCGACCCCTCCTTGGGTTTCCGAGGCAGTATCACTACGGAGTAGGATTGACCAACCTTCCTTCCAAGGAGTGGCTGGTGGGTTTGAACCGCCAGCCTTCTGGTGAGCAGTCAAGTGCCTTAGGCACTATGCTACCAGAGCTCCTCATTAATCATTAGAGAGATGCAAATCAAAACAACAATGAGATATCATCTCACCCCAGCAATACATTGCATACAGACGCTAATTTCACAGTTTTAGTATTTAAACTTTCAGTATGTCGATTAGTTTAACAAAAGCTGTGAATTTTTACCCTTGGTATTATTTTTGATCTTTCTAGAACTTGATCACTCTTACTATCTTTTGACATTATTTTATAAGTAACACTCTGTTAAAGCAGGCAAAGAAGGTGAGTCACACTGAGTGTATTCAGTAGCAGAGAAGTAACAGAGACTTTGTGGGAAAGGTTCTACTGAAGGGAAGGGGAAGTCCTGGCTAAAGATTTATGCTCATCTCTAAGTCAGGCATCTTACCTACTAAAATGTAGTAGGTAAGTAGGTAATCATAGTGATTTCTGTACATGTAACTTTTCAGTGTTGATCCGTGAAGTGGTTGAGAAGAGACTGGATATGTATGAGAATAAAGAAGACGCGCACCAGCCCCACAGGCCCATGGGTGGGTGGGATGGCTCTGAGGCCATGCAAGGGTCACTGGGGCCATATGAGCTCCACAGGCCAAACAGCTCGCCAACCCAGAGGCCCCTTGTGGACAGAGACTACCTGTCAAGAGCAGCGTATGACAGAAGGTACATGGAGGGAGGGCTGTACCCAGATGAGAAAGGTGTGGAGGAGGGAGACTCCAGCGGGCAGAACTCTGCAGACACGAGGATGTCCTTGGAGAAGGAAGAGCTGACGTGGCCTCCCAGTGCCGTGTAGCCATGAGACTGTCAGCAGCCAAACCACCGAGCCAATGAGACGGCACAGGAGTCCTCTCAGCTGATGGAAATTGTTTTACTTAGTCAGATGTCATATCATATCATGGACTGGGGAAGTCAGATGTCATAAAATAATAAAATTAGTATAAAAAATGAAACTTAAATAAAAACGTACTCACTGAATAATAGAGTACCCAGAGGATGTATTGTAACTCCGCTGAGAATTCTGTTTAACTATTAGCTTCCACTGCCACTACCTACACCAGCCACTCCTTGGAAGGAAAGTTGGGCAATCTACTTCCATAGTGATATTACCTTGGAATCCCAAGGAGGGGTCGCTATGAGTCGGATTCGATTCAATGGCAGTGAGTTTGGTTTGGGTTTTTTTTTTTTTTTTGAGTGTTTATATATATAAATCTCTCTCTATATACATATACACACACACACACACACACACTAGTGAGTTTAGAGTGAGAACAAATATAGTACTATATTTATCACATGCTATATGTACACCAAGGAGCTCTGAAGGCATAGTGCCTAAGGTATTTGACTGCTAACTAGAAGGCTGGCAGATCAAACCCATCAACCACTCCATGGAAGGAAGGTTAGGCAATCTACTTCCATAGTGATATTGCCTTGGAAACCCAAGGAGGGGTCACTATGAGTCAGATCCAACTCAACAAAAGTGAGTTTGGGTTTTTCTTTCACCACCATCTGTAACTAGCTGATGTATTTTTTCTTAATCCTTCTAATTTTTCACATTAGTTCTTTTTCAGTAAGTATAATACTTAATATAGTAAAACCTGTGAAAGCCAGAACCTGTGTAAGGCAAAAACCTGTCAGAGAAACCTGTCAAATATTTCTCACTAGAAGAGTGGTAAGATGGCACTTTGTCAATGGCAGAAAACTTACAAGACCCAGAAAAACAAGGCAGTCCTGGTAAATTCCAGTTCTCACAGGTTTACTGTACATCTACTTCTCACTTATCAACTTTCTCATCATCTGACATTTCACACTTAAGACAATAGTAAAATATCTGTCCAACTATTTTGTGCATTAATTAACATACATCATTAATAATGATGGCTGTGAGAGTTAAGGTTGCATGTCATCGTGGCTGGGCCTTGATGCTCAGTGGTTTGACAGTTATATAATGATGTAATTTGACAGTTATATAATGATAGTCATCCTCCATTTTCATGTCATGCCGATTTTCACATAATGACATTGTTCTGGTTCCCTAGTGCTACTCTGACAGAAATATACCACAAATGGGATGGCCTTAACAAACAGGAGTTTATTCTCTTACAGTTTGGAGACTTTAAGTCCGAGTTCAAAGTGCCAGGCTCTAGGGATTGGGTGAAAGCCCCTCAACCTAGGAGTCCAGCTCTGCCTCCTGCTCCCAGCCCACTGGAGCCAGAGGCTTTTCTTCACTCAGCTGCTGGCTGCTTAGGCTGACAAGCCCAAGTAAAAAGGCACGGTCCTGATGTTACCAAACCACATGGCAGGCCATTAATTCAAGTCCATTGTAAGTCCCAGGATCAGCAGAGCATGGTAGGCTGCTGAACAACGACACGGCTACATGCAGGGTTCAAGGTGCCATAAGCTAGAGACCATTCCCAAAGCTGCTTCTTATATATGGGAAGCAGACCACATCCCAAAGGCAGCTACTCAGCTGCTTGTGGTAGATCCCACCATGGAGTTGATTGCCAGTCTCATCATGAGGAATACCTACCACCAGCTGCCCAGCCACTCAACCAGGCCCAGCCACGTTGACCCTAAAACATAACCATCACAGACATGGTCTTTGGAACCTAATAATGTCAGTAAGTGAGGAGTGGGTGCACTAGTTGTCAGTGTTGTCAACCACTGAGCTTTTTCTTCTCCATAGGAAAACTCTTTCTTATTCTACAAAAGAGTACCTACATTGTGTGTTGCTGAAAGCTCTAGTGCTCCCTCCTCCCAAGGACCAAGAAATATGCTTTTATTTGTATAAAAGTAAACACGTGGTTGCCCCTTCCATCTCCAATATTCAAGTACAGCTTATGGACTCTATGAATTACTAATGCAGTCTCCTGTCTTCTTTTTTTCATATTCCTAAGGCACTTGACTGCTAACCAGAAGGCTGGTGGTTCAAACCCACCAGCCACTCCTCAGAAGGAAGGTTGGGCATTCTACTTCCGTAGTGATGCCGCCTCGGAAACCCAAGGAGGGGTCGCTATGAGTTGGGTCCGACTCCACAGCACATAACAACAACAACATTTAAAAAAAGAGTAAAAGGCCCTCATGTTGTTATCAATTTTGTTAGTACCTTCAAGGCCTTGTTCAAAGAATTCCACCTATTAGCCATTGCTATGTTAGTTCCATCTTCTTAAACAGTCTTTATTGTTGTTAGGTGCCCTCAAGACAGTTCCAACTCAAAATGGCCCTGTGTACAACAGAAGTAGCATTGCTTGGTCCTGCACAATCTTTACAATCATTGCTAACCCATTGTTGCAGCCACTGTGTCCATCCATGTGGTTGAAGGTCTTCCCCATTTTCTCGGACCCTCCACTTTACCAAGTGTGATATCCTTTTCTAGGGAGTGATCCCTTCTGACAACATGACGAAAGTAGAGAGATGACGTGTGGTCATTCTCACTTGTAAGGAGCATTCCAGCTCCACTTCCTCCAAAACAGATTTGATCATCCTTCTAGCAGTCCATGGTACATTCAACATTCTTCGCCAGATCCACCAATTCTTCTGCGATCTTCCTTATTCATTGTCCAGCTTTCACATGCATATAAGGCTATAAAACTGTATGCTAAAGGGGCAAAGAGGTGGCATCTCTGACCTCCTCTAACTATACAAGAGGAAGACAGAGTCACCATCAGCAGCCCAAGGCCTGTTCTTATGAGGCCAGACATGCTGCCACCCTCCAGCCCTCTTACTAACCTTGTCACCAACCAATCCTCCTGCGGCACTCACCACCTCTCTGCTGGACTCACTGCAGTGACCACACAGAACTCAGAGATTCTGGGGTTTATTAGGGAAGCAACAGGCTACAATTCAAGTTCAGGAATACACTCAATCCCTCCCAGCTGACAGTCTCTCTCTCAGCCAACAGTCTCTCAGTAGCATGTCTCTCTCAGCAGTGTGTCTCTCCCACATCTCTCTCTCAGCAGCACATTTCTCTCAACAGCACTTCTTCCTCAGCTGGCAGTCAGAGAGACTCCTTCTGCTTCTAGGAGGGTTCCTGTTTGAGCCTGGTAAAGTGGCCAAACCAACCAATATCAACATCAGAATTCTATACACCTGAGAGAGCAAACTTCCCAGAAGATTGCTTCATGCTGCTCCAACAGAAATATACCAGGTCAATAACTTTAACAATCAGCTACTCAATTGCTTATGACAAAGTGGGAGTTACAAACACTATGGCTGGATAAGCCATACCATGTAATTTACTACACTGCATTGAAAGATACTAATTTTGGTAGAAATGCCAGTAAAAGGTCATAATTTTTTTTTTTTTTTTAAATCAGAGTTGCTGTTGATCAATACTACTAAATTTAAAATATCTAGGGACCACTCCCTAGAAAAGGATATCACACTTGGTAAAGTGGAGCATCAGAGAAAAAGAGGAAGACCTTCAACCACATGGATGGACACAGTGGCTGCAACAATGGGTTAGCAATGATTGTAAGGATTGTGCAGGACTAAGCAATGCTACTTTTGTTGTACACAGGGCCACTTTGAGTAGATTTAAGAATCCCTTCAAACTTAATTTGAGGTTGATTATCTTCTACAATTTGAACCTTTACAATAATCCAGTCCATTAGCTGTTTTGCAAATGCTTTGCTAAACATCCATTAATTAATTCAATTAATTGTAATTTATGGAAATCTGTGGACCTGTCACTGAAATTGAGTAAGCTTACATACCATCTGATTTCATCCTTGAAAGAAACAAAAATGATTGAAAAGTTATGAGATCATCCCTGTGAAAAAACTTAGAGAAACTGGAGTTATATATTATCTGAAGAAAAGACTATTGAATGGAAACTTAAAATTTATGAAGAATTTCTTCAAACACATGAAGGATTTTATGGTCAATTATGGGAGAGTATGTTTAGGTTCTGTATGTCTAGGAGCCTTTTTAATTGTAAACTTGTTTGGAAATGGGTTGGATGCATTAAAAAAAAAAAGAAAAAACCTTCCAATTTGTGTTGGCTTTGCTCACATGTGCTAATAGTCTTCTCATGAATTCTATTCTTCCCATTGTTTTCACTATTGCTAAGCTAACAGAAGCTAAAAAATAATAAAATGAATAATATATAGTAAAGTCATAAAGATTATCCTCACTGACATAGATTCCCATATCACAAAAATAGTTTAGAGAGATCAAAAAAAAAAAAAAG